CCCCTGGCGTCAGGGGATTTTTTTTTTTTTTTCTTCCACGAAAGTTCAATATAATATATTGTTCATTGTACGGTATCAAGTTTACGATTGGTTAATGAATCAGGTATCATTTTTTCACCGTATGTACCATTGACGTCATACAGATTTGCATATTTTTAACAATAACACATGCGTGCGCGCGTCTTTTGAAATCCCCGTGTCATATATTATACGAGAGAGAGAGAGAGAAAAAAAAATTCAAGCACACCTGCAGCGTGGCGTCATCGACGGGGCGATTTATTGCCACTCGTCCGTGACTGTCAATCAAAAGACGTGCAGGAAGACGTCGCGCATAGTGTATATGTACCTTATACTTCATCCTTAGCTTGTACACATTATGTATTCCGCTCGTGACGTCTTGGCACGCGCGTGTTTACGACCAAATTGATTATCACCTTTACGCGCGAAACATCATTACGTCTCAATTACAAAGCAAACAAACAAACATACACTGGTGTATTATCGGTCGTGTGAAGGAAAAAAACAAAAAAAAGAATCATCCAATGATCCAATAGTTCTCGGCGATATTGAAAATACACAGGCAATACGGTCCAGCGATTTTTAATGTTTATCGCCGACACGATCGAAAGATGTACAGTGAGCACCTCCGTGTATACATGACACTTTCGAGATGTAAAGGAAAAAGGGGTTAACTGTTGGTATGCTTTTCGCTCGACATGGTGCGACGAACCCCGGACTCTATATGCTCCTTCCATACACGAGATAAGATATCACGCGCGTTTTATTTGCGCTGTCGATACACATGTGCTTTTTTTTTTTTTTTTTTTTTCCTTCGTTTTTTCGTACGACGCGTATTTGATCGGCAATTGGGATTTCCACGCGTGCGACCAGTCGTTTCAGGGGAGGGGACCAAAAGCAAAGTGCTCGAGAGAGGCGGACAGTTACGAGAGGTCGCGTCCGAATATAAATATACATGACAAGCGAGGGGTGATTAAGCCGGTCGGTCGGGGGCCCGAAGGTAAGGTTGTCGATGTGAATAGCATTGGGGGAGCTTGACCAACTCGGTTTGCTCGTGACGGCTGCCAAGCGCAGTAAGCTCGCATCCCTAACGGACGACCGCTGAATTTGACCGAGATTTACCGGTGTTTTGAATTCCCCAACCCCCCCCCCGCTCGAGATGTTGCGGTTGTTTTGCCGCCATGTACTCATTTTTGTTACATCATGATTTTGTCCAAGTCTTCTGGTAAGATACAATGTTTGGCTCCGTGAGAAGTTTCACAAGACAATAGTTGAACCATTACAATTGAACAAGTGTAAGAAAAAAAAAAAATAATAATAAAAAAAAATAATACTTAACAACATCGAAAGTTTGAAAAATCTGTCCAGAGGGGATTAACGTCGGTACGATTGTTATTGTACAAAGACGCCAACAGTGACGAAGCGCTTGGGTCTTGTTATTATGATTTTTATTACGTGATCGATCGTGTAATCGATTAAACTTGAGAGTAAATCGGTTACGTGCATATATATTTTTTATTTAAATATCTAGATGAAAACACGCACCTTTAGCTTTTGGTATCAGTGTTAACAAGTGGCTGATCACGGCTCCAGCACTGCTACCGTAAATCGTAACGTTGTTTGGATTACCACCGAAAGCTTTGATATTATTTTGAACCCATTGCAAAGTGCACAGTACATCTCTTATCCCAACATTACCAGACGCAACTTCGTGTCCAAGGCTGAGGAAACCTGCAAAAATATTTCCTAGGTTTCTTCAATTTTCTTGGAACCATAAAAATATTTTTTACTTACCAAATATTCCTACTCTGTAATTAATATTGACTAACACCACGTCTTGCGTAACCAAATAATCCTGCCTATAGACATCACGATTTGTTGTACCTTCGACAAAACTTCCACCATGAATGAAAACCATCACTGGTCTGTCGGGACTAAGAGTTTTTGTAAATACACTTAAGTAAAGGCAATTTTCGTTTCCTACAATTTCTTCATGATGAATGTCGTCTCTGAGCTGCATGCAATCATCGCCAGCATAATTTGAAGCATCTCGCACACCGGACCATTTTTCAGGTGGTTGTGGCACCTTATTATTGATTGATATGTCATTACTACTTCAAAATAAAATTTTAAACATATTTTATGTAATCTTACTTTAAATCTCAGTGGACCAAGAGGTGGTGCAGCATAAGGTATCCCCTTAAAAGCGTAGTAACTGGGGCCTAAAATACTTTTCAACGTAACTCCCTGCAGCTGTCCTTCTCTTATAGTTACAATTGGTCGTTCCATGTTTGACAATAGGTTGAATATACTTCTCCGATGATTTTTGAGTGTGAGTTTGCTACAACTTCGAAAAATTTTAGCATTTATGATTGGTTTTTATAGCATTTTCAGTGTTATCATCCAATGCTTTATCAAAACTTAATTACATGTGCGCAAATACAAAATTTTTAATTACTCTACGTTTGTGAGACTTTGTGTACAACTTGTATGATGATGTAATTGAAAAAATAAAATTATGTGGATACGTAATAAATATGGTATAATATTTTTAAAATACTATTCTTAGTTTGTTGGATTAAAGAAAAAAAAAATTTTTTTTTCGAAAGTAATCATTAATGGCGCAATATTTTTGATAAAAATATAAATGCATTTATTGAAAATAATTCACAATCCTTTATATAATTGTAAATGTCTAAAAATAATCACCCAAACGCTGCAAAATTACTCCACAGGCGAATAATCCTTTCCAAAACTAGCCTGTCCAGAGTACCTTCTTTGGGATACAATTGCTCTGGATTTTTTTTCCTCATAGGAAAACGAGATAAGTAAAACAGGTATGATAACTCGTCAGCGTGGGCGACACCTAAAAAATACGTAGAATTTCATTTTAACCTTTACAAATAAATCTACATTTATATTGGTAAAAAAGGTTCGTGCCTTTGAGAGGCTGTGGGCCATGCTTATTTTGATAAACCGTTAGTTCGTCTCCCATGTAGGAAAACATGTAAACGTAGGTTGGTGCTGTTGCAGATTCGACTCGATGATCGATAACTTGTCTATTGGCGTGAATAATCAAGTCACTTGTCAAACGTATCAAATTCCAGACGTTTTCTGAATCGATTGGCTTGTTCTTTAAATAAAATTCTTGCACTTCTTTCATTAACTCAGGAAATACCGTGGGGTCTTTTAATTTATTTCTGATTATTGATTCTATATGATCGTTGTAGTATTTGTAGGTGTCGTCGGTAAATTTATCTAAAATTTGTTGAAAAATTAATTTAAACATTAATTCAAATTAAAGGAAATTAATATCGGATCTTTTTATCATTCCAGTATAAATTATCTAAGCCACCTTAACAAATGTCATTTACGAATTCTCAATGACCTATATTTTTTAATATTTTATTTACGTCTATAAATTCGTGAGACGATAAGTCGGCAGTAAAAATTTCTGTTAGTGCTCATTTCAATATTTGACATAACTTTTGAAAACTAATAATTTTGAAAGTGCTAATTTTTTAATAATCGCATCAATTTTTTGTGTTATTACCTTGTTTCAGTAAATTATCATTATGTTTGAGTTTTTTGTGCAAATACAAACACAAAATTCACTTCAACTCCGTAATAATTTTTAATGATATTTTTTTATACCACGTACATTTAAATTCGAAATACTCTTACATTAAATACTTCGAAGTACATTAAAATGTGATATATTTTGAACCTGTCTTAATACCATTGTTTGAGAGAATGATTTCGGCTTCTTAAAGTTCATAAAACAACAAAAATAAACGTAACTTACCTACAAACATCAAAAGACTTTCATCTGGGGTATGACCTATCATAATGGGTATGTCGGCATTGTTGTTCTTCAATTCCTCAAAAGTACCAGGTATCACTGGATCTGAGGTGTAATCGACATCAATGACCGGCATGTAAAGACTTAAATCGTATTGAATCGCTTCCTGAGATTTTACATAATAATTACATAACAACGTGTGAAACCATCTAATTTAAAATTAAAAAAAAAAAATTATTTCCAGCACCTCTTTGCTTAGAATTTTGTTTTTGCACTCGACAAGTTTCGTGGCTGGCATTGAACGAAGAAATTCTATCACCTCCAACGGATCTTTGGACTGCATTCCAAGATGAGCGGCGATTCTAAAGCCATTTTTAATATCATATTTGCCAGTCAAGGTTCGTGCGCCATTGCACGTACCACTTTGAATAATTGCTTTGTGTAACAATCCTAAAAGTTCGAAAACATGCTATTATAAATATATGATATTTTGTTTCTGTTCTCGTATGGGTCATGGATTTTCATTAAACCTTTAGCTTTTGGTATCAGTGTTAACAAATGGCTAATCACAGCTCCAGCACTGCTACCAAAAACTGTAACATTGTTTGGATTTCCACCGAAAGCTTTGATGTTATTTTGAACCCATTGCAGAGAAAATAGTATATCTCTTAATCCTATATTACTGGGCGCAACTTCATGTCCGAGGCTAAGAAAACCTTTAAAAAAATGTATAATGTAAGGTTTTATTGAATTCCACATAGGTACATTAATGCTTTGCACTTACCAAATATTCCTACTCTATAGTTAATGTTCACCAATACGACGTCTTGGGTAACTAAATAGTCCTGTCTGTAGACGTCACGATTCGATGTACCTTCAATGAAACTTCCACCATGAATGAAAACCATCACTGGTCTGTTGGGATTAAGGGTTTTCGTAAATACATTTAGGTAAAGGCAATTTTCGCTTCCTACGATCCCATCATGGAGAATATCGTCTCTGAGCTGCATGCAAGCGTCTCCAACATAATTTGAAGCGTCACGTATACCATCCCATTTTGAAGGTGGCTGTGGTTCCTGGAGAATAATAATTTATCAATAGGACATATCTACCTGAGACAGTATTTCGAAATGTTTTTTTATGTACCTTAAATCTTAACGGACCAAAAGGTGGTGCAGCAAACGGAATCCCTTTGAAAGCATAGTAATTTGGACCCAATACACTTTTCAACGTAGTACCCTGTAGTTGTCCTTCGCTTATAGTTACTACTGGCCTATCCATGTTGACTTTGTTGAACCAATACGTATCTTCAAGATTGTAGCGTGCTACTTACTCCGACACGAGTTAACCTTGATATTCGTCTTTTATATCGTTTTTAGTGTTATCATCCAGGGATTTATCAAAATGCAATCAATTTTAATTATGTGTCGCAGATAAAACATTTTTACATATTAGCAAATATCGGGGTTTTGTACGAAATTGGAATTATGTTACAATACAAAATGATAAATTCATGAGCTTCCATTATTTATTAATACTTACTATTAGTTTTTTTTTTCTTTAAAAATATTAGATAATGACTTACTTTGAAAAACATCACTAGCCTTGTTTTATTGTTTATTAAAATACTTTTTTTTGTTCGAAAAAAAGTTATGATCCTTCTTTTAATAAAATCAACGTTTCAAGAATTTGAAAAAAATTTTTTTTATTTAGTTTCAAATTAAACACGTATAAATTTTTTAAAATAAATACTGTTATCATAACTGTCAACGTTTATACGTAACATAGTTTTATTTAGCATAACAAAGTATACCCTATATTGGAATGCTTCGTCACGATTCTACACTTTAGAACATTAAATTTATAAACATTTTGTCCGTCTATAATGTTGATGGATATTTCTGTTGATACATTTTTTGATAACTTAAATGGTCTTGATTTCAGATTTCAATCCTTATTGTATATAAATTGAATAGGATTATTGATGTCATTTTTTTATTTCTGT